GCACAAGACTGACATTCATAACCTTCTTTGTCATACTAATTAAATTTGCTGAGCAGGCAAAAATACTATATATCTATGATATAAAACTTTAAGTTAAAAGCAATTATAATGATGGTCACCTGTTGATCATCTTTTTGTGCCAAATTTTATGAAAAAATATTTCAGGTCAATTTCCGGACAAATTCTGGACAAAATGAGTGTCCGGAAACGAGTGTGTTTTCGGAACAATTTCTGGACATGGTACCTGGCATTTTCTGGACATTTTCCGGACAATTATTTAGACAAATTTTCCGGACAATTTCTGGACAATTTCCGGACACTTATTTTTTATAGGGCAACCTTATTTTCTTGTAATATAGGACAAACTGGACATAGTATTGTCATTTCTGATAGCTAGTAGTAGTCTTCACTTAACGCGTCTTCACTTTAACGCGTCTATATAGGCTCCGCCAAACTCTATTTCAGTTAAAGGAGGCAGTTTCTGGTAATAATAGTCTTCACTTAACGCCGTCTATATAGGCTCCGTCTTCAGTTAAAGATAAGGTATTGAGAACTAAAAGAAAAAAAAAAACTTTTTTTTTCGACAAACGACAGTTGTTCACGTACGAACAACTTTTTTTTGTTGCTGAGTTATTGAAATAAAAAATAAACGTACGAAAAAATAAGTTAAACGTACAAAAAAGTATTCGCGTCTATATAGGCTCCGTCTTCAGTTAAAGATAAGGTATTGAGAACTAAAAGAAACCAAGAAAAAAAAAGCCCAAATGGGACCTATATATATATAAAAAAAAATATGAGACTCAGATGTGTCCATTACACGATTATTTATTATCAATATTACAGTATTAATTTTTACTAACTATGACTCATATGACTCAAATAGATGTCTGTTACGCGATTTATTATTTGCTATATATATTATTCTTCTGATTATTCTGATTATTAATCAAAATAGTAAAATCTGTTAACTAATTGTTATTATACCAGCATATCGGAATCTGAATAAAATCCGTTCATAGCACAGTACGATAATTCCCGAGCCATTTTTTAGCCACTTTTGGAAATGAGTATCGAATGGCTTTTCCTTTTCATCCGTCCTTGTCAGATTTTTCAGGAGTAGGCGTCCTTCAGATACTGCGAGACATCAGGGTAGAGAGTGACAGACAGAGAAATTTTTTACCGACACAAAAATTCTTTTATTTTAGTTATGTCTACACGTCCTGTATAAAAGATAACTATTTAAATTTAAATAAATTGTATAATAATACACAATCAATGAGAGTGCATATGGAACTCTGAAACTCTTAAAATGTTACGTGACGTGATGACAATATAGGTAATATAGATAGATTGATCAGTAACATCAGTAACTTTGTTACTATGTTGACATTATTGTAAAATTTTCATATACAAAATACACAAATATACTATCGACTTCATGGGTATTATGGGTATTGCTATTACATAATTTATAAAAATTGTACAACAATAAAATATATAAAGTTCAATGTTTTAATTCCTTTTCATATATTTTTTCTTTATAGCTCGCAAAAAAATTTTGTTTTTACATTATAAAGCATTCGACTGATATATCCTGGTCACCGAAAAACCATAAGGTAAGCTAAAGATCCCTGCTTAGCTTCTCAGTGTGTGCATATGTTGTTAGATTGTCGGGTTGAGCCAATCAATTACACTTTGAATCCAAGAAATGGTGTCACGTGATATTAGATAAATCATGGGTTCGTTATTTTTTCAATTTGCGTAAAAATTTGCCAAGTGTCCTGTACATTATGAAATTAGCTGTAATGGGCAAGTCCCAATCCCGGCGCAATGCGACAGGTTACACCTAGTATACCTATATACTTATTTCATTGTTTAGCCAGTTACCTTGTAATATTTATCATTAATTGAAGAAAATTTTCTACGCATCAGTATTTGGTCTTTATAAGTAAAAAGCTAATAGAAGACATGATAAAATATATCATGTGAATTTAATGACTGAAATTTAATTTGCAGGATTATTCGTACTACGCAGACATCGTCACACCATCAATTTCCACCGATCACAAACTAGTTTATGCGGCCATTGACGCTAGATTTTAGCTAAAAAACAAGACCATAAATCGAACGACTATAATTTAATAGAATTATAGAAAAAAAAAATCAACTTTACGATTTAATTTTAAGAAAATTTCCAAAGACAAATGTCAAGACTTTCAGATTTTTGCATGGAACAATTATCGAATCATATCCTCGGACTATACATCAAGACCCTCAAACCCACGTTAACACTATTTTTGGATTCATCACTCAAAGTATTATCAATAATCTTATACATCGTTTAATTCCTACTACAACCAACACATCCACATTTTGGACGAAACCAAAAAACTCTCCGTTTAAGAAGAATCAAACAAATCTAACGTCTAACGATCCTACTTCAGCCCAACGGACCATGACTTCTGACATCAAGGAAATAATTATATAATTATTCAGGAACAGCTCCATCAAATCAAAATTGCACTTTCTACAAATCTTGAGTTAGAAATTAACTCACATACTTAAAAGAAAATATAAAGCTTCAAAATAATCAGACAAAGATGTTAAATTCTTTATTTGACCGAAAACCACAAAAGATTAATATGGACAAACTTATAGAATGATATACTAACCTTTACAACTGATCCAGATGAAATAGAAAGTATATATCCATTATAAAAATATAGGAGCCAGCACGACAAATCCATTATCATACACGACCAACACACCATTACGTGATCAGGACCTTCCTAACAATAAAGCCGCTGGTCATTCATAAAGAAGGTCGTCGTTTACTCACCTAGCTTACAAGGTTCATTACTGAATTCGTATCAGAAAGGTCGACTGATCCCAATATATGACGCCTATCGTAATTAATTAATAAATTCTCTGAATATTTACACGATGATCCCATTTAGATAAAATCATTACGCAAGAAAAACAAATTAACAAAATTGACTTTAATAAGAAATAGTTAAATAAATTTTATTACTAAACTATTTAAGTAAAGTGGACATTACAACTGAAAATTCAAATCAATAAGCAATAAGTTTAAAATAATATAAGGAATAAATTTCTATTAATTTCAAATTAAAAGGAATTATTGGTAATGAGATAATAAATTTTAAATTTGAGCGTTTATTAATGCTAAACTTGTATAAATTAATTGATGAGTTTTATTACATATAGCTCGAAATGATAAAGAGGAAAATATGATAGGAAATGAAAATTAATGACGAAAGAACGAAAAGAAAGTATTAAAAAGTATTTCCCACATTGTGCTGGAATTCTAATTCCGCTATAACCTGCATGCTGATTTTAACTAAATAAGTTACGCTTGTTCATCTGTGCTAGTTAATTAAATCATTAATTATCTCTTATGAGGAAATTCTTCATCGCCGATTTTGAAAATAATAAATCAAATTTGGACTTATATAAGTGAGTAGTCTTCAAATATGTATTACAAAAATCCGCATAAATTTTTCAGGTCACTACTGCCAATAGCAGATGCTATAGCTAAAAACTGGATAAAACTATGTTCCAAAACAAGTGACTTTAAATGTTCTAGCAGCAGTTAAAGAAAATGCATCATTAGTTTCGACTTCTAGTTTTCTACAGCTACTGTAAAAGAAACCTTACAAGTGAATATGTTTTGTCAGAATTTTACACGTAATGTATTTATGTTATGACAATACTATCACGTGCGTAATATCCATTGGACTTTGAGGTGGATGATTATAAGTTTTCAAGTTATTAAAAGATTAAATTAGATAGATTCATTCTTTTTATCAAATTATTTTAATCTTAGCCTGTAATCAATTTTACGTTCAATTTGGGTAAATCTTTTATGATTCGTGATAATATTTTTAGATTTTTTTTTTCGAACAAATATTAATTTTCCTTTATTAGAATAATGAAATAATGAAAATTATGTGGTTTATAAATTCCAATATTATTCATTTACATATCGAACGTGTATTAGAATACTTAATAAAGAGGAGGATTTTTCCAGTAATGAATTACAATTTAATAAGAATTTATTTCATAATTTCACGCCGAGATCATTTTAACTTGGTGGTAATGTTACTGGTAAAATGTGAAATTGTTTATTTCAAGAAATATCACGTTATTTTAATGTTTAATATATCATGTTAGTAAGATTATTAAAAAAACCAAATGAATAATTCGGTGATTTGAAGAAAAAAACAATATATATAAATTTTCTTATAAATGATTTACAAACTGGACCATTTAATATGCAGTACCTGTCCAATGATCAAATTATAAGAACTAATGTGATATTAAAATTATTTTGCATGTATTTCTTCCAATAATTTCTCTAATTTCTCTAATTTCTCTAATTTACCTTCTAATACTGATAATTTCTTCAATACCACCTCATTGTTAATAGGATCATGTTTAATTTGAAGTTCTTTTAATAATTTTTCCCTCATCTCTGCAAATTCCTTAGTATCCCATTTACCCTCTTTAATCAATCTTTCAACTTCTCTTCGAGTCTTATCAATATCAGCATAATAATGTCTTTGAAAAATAAAAATTAAATAATTAATAAAATCATAAAATTAATTTTTTTTTAAAAAAAGTGAAACTACATACATTACTTCAGGAAACCATGTTTGCTAACGTCTCTGATGTGGTAATAGGTAAAATAATTCAATCTCAGCTAAAATCTAAAAATTGAGATATATTAGTATATTTACAGAAATGGAATGATTAATATTAATATTATTTACTTCTGCTTTTTGTATCAAATACGAGATTCTATTATTATCTTCTTCAATTGCATTATTAAGTAATCCAATTAACAAGTTCATAAGATATACAACAATTAAGAGGGAGAATAAAACAATCAAAACTGCAATTGATGGATTGCCTGCATATGACCAATTAGATAATGCACTTGAATCACCTATTGATAAGAAGAATTGCTTAAAAATATTAGAAAATATTATGTATATTTACATAATTATGAAAAATTTAAGTATACCTATTAAAAATAAATATATAGCAAAAAGGGAAGTTCTAATATCTATAAACATGTTTGTATTTTCATCAGGAATTTGAATTATAATTGGATTTGAGTTTATGTTTCCATCATTATCAATTTGATTATAACTAGGTGCTAGATTCCAAGGATTATTTGGATCATTATTATTTGTATTCTGTTTTTCAAATGAAAATTCAGATTTTGGTGATAATAAAGTATAAAATGCATATGCAAAACTTATTATAATAATGAATAAGACTAATAAAAAAGAAAAAATCTTTTTTCCTACACTAATAATAATTGCAAAATATACACCAAAATATTCAAATGCTCTAAAAAATAACAAAAATTTTATATCCAAAAATAAGCATGAAAAAGAAAGCAGTTGAGTTAGATAGTTATTATTCTTATCATTTGTTTGAAGCCAATAAATAGAAGTGTAAATCAAAAGCACATAAGCAATTATATCTGAAATATTAAAATATAATTTAATTTCATTTCTTAAAATGTTGTAAATAATTAAATTAAACATCCATATTTACCAAAAATATTCCAAAAATTATAGAACCATTTAGTAATATTATAAAAAAATTGACGAATTTCAAAAATCAGATGAATAAATCCAAGTATAATTGAAGCAATAAAAAGTTGTTGTCTAACTTTTTCATTAAGAGGAATTGTTGCAGCAGCAGTAAAGCATCCAAGTAAAGTCATAAATAAAATCCAAATAATTGCATAATAATATTTGCCATAATTATTCCATTTAAAATTAATTAATGCTTCACCATTCCATGTCTTATAGATATTTCTATTTATTGTTTCAGTAAATGAACTAGGTTGAGGTCTAATTAATTCTAAAAGCCAATTATAATCAGTTGAATAATTAACAAAATTAATATAAGGAATCACAAAAGTTATTGTTGGTGTTGTTGGTATATCTTTTTTTAAAAATTTTAAATATTTTAAGATCAACAAAAAAATAAACAAAAGTAAATACATCTGTAAAGTAAATATTATTAATAAAATTGTATTTTGATAAAATATAAAATGTAGCCAAATAAAGGGGAAAAGTTAAAAGTATTATTAAAATTTGAATAGCAAATATAATTAAAAATAACAATAATAAACCTATATTTTTTGTATAATGAAATGTACAATAAAATTTATAATAGTATTTTGTCCATAAAAGAGATCGAGATAAATTAATCATTTGAGGAGATTGAGTAAAAGAATATAGATGTAAATTTTTATTTCGATGCTCTATACTATAAAAAGAAGAATCTATGATTATATTCGTTTCTGATGAATATTTTAGAATATATTCTGGATAATATTCATCTAGTAATGGCATTGCAGAAGTGACAATGCTTAAAAATAACTTATTGTTCATTAAATCCTCTTTAAAATAAGTCATACATTTTTTATAAATATCATCAATTAATTCTAGCTTATGTTCTTTAATTGCTAACATTAATAATTCAACTCCATATTTCAAAAGACTTGTCTTATTATTTATTACATCTGAAACCCATCCATTTAATCTAAAACTATCATAATTTGGTAATGGTAAAGTAGATTGTGAAAATTTTCTTTTGTAATGTTGAAGTGTTGTTTTCTTACATTTTTAATCATTATAAATATATTGTTCTAATTCCAGAAAATAAAAATAGTTTAAAGAAATAGATTTGTTATTTTCACTAAAAGTATAAATAAGAATACCAAATGTTGTCAATATAACAATATCGTTGTTATTAAATAACGAGCTCATAATTAATTTTGGTTATTGCAGAATATTTATATTTATAATGATGATTGTCAATTCTCCTGCTAATTACTAAATTCCATTCAGTATTGTGTTTTTTAAAAACTGCCAGGTTAATTTCAATATGATTGATATTCATATCCCATTTAATTAAATTTTCAGTTGATACGGTTGATTTTTGTACCCTATGAAGATCATTTGTTATGGCCTTTTGAAATAATGTAGGCACAGCATCCATATATAAATTAAATGAATGAACATTTAAGTGTTTGTCAACATCATCACATTCAATAATTTTATTATTTTCTTTACTTAATTCATCGGAATTTTTGTTCGTTTTTGACATAAATTTAGATTTCCATACACGTCCATTTAGAATTCTAAGCACAAACTTTGTTTGTTCATCATCAGTTTGTTCAGAACTTTGTTCACTAAAAAAAGCTTCTAGTTCATCATAATTTGGTTTTTGTTTTTCAAATAGAGTTTGATTCCGATTATTTTTGTATTTATATATTTGATTTCTTTGTCTGGTGTATAATAGAATAAAGAAGGTAAAAGAAATAAACCAGTATGATTCATAAAATTATATAGTTGAATATCTGAATAAAAAAATAATGATTTAATATGAGTAATAATTAAGTATAAATAAGATTTTTTAAAATGATTACCATCATTTACATCCAAAGAAGCAATAGGAATTCCCAATTCGATTAAATAAACGATGATTTTGTCATTGAATTTTAGAAAAATAAACTTTTCATTACTGAATATTCGATATCATACATTTTAAACTAAAAATAAATAGTATTCAATATATTTAATTATAATTTAACGTCAATTGGTTTGAAAATAATTTTATAACTATATTCATTACCTCATTCTCATCTTTATGGTTAACAAATATTTTTACACTTTTCTCAGTATTAATATTCCATTCATAAATGTAATCATTTGAATCCATTGGATACAGGTAAACTTTATCATATTTTGATATACTAACTAATTCATAATCTTTAAGTATCCTATAAAATCTCTTACATTCCCATTTGTTATCTTTTGTTTGTGTGGAATAAATCCAAATAATATCATGACTTCCAAAAGTTTCATGAACGTAGAATAAACTATATAAAATAAATTCACCTTTTAAATTAAAGGTACAGTAATTAGAATTTGAATGAGAAACTTCTGTATCTAAATTTAATGCAATTTTTTTTTTATTATTCATATCGATTACTAAAAAAAAATATTAAATAAATATCAATTACCATAATTTAATAATTTCATAATCAAATAATTATTACTTACCAGTAATAGTACATTTATAATCATTACTGATATAAGCAAGTTTCTTATCATCAGAAACACATGAACTTCTGATTCCTTTATCTTCATTAATTTTGACAGTTTGATCAAATTTAAGTTGAACCTTATCCATATCTTCAACATTCCAACCGGCAATTGAACGATCTTCTTTACTATATGTAATAAGGTAGTTTTCTTTTGGTGATATTTCTATTATAATAATAGGTTTACCGTTATGTGGTTCATCATTGATATCATCGAAGGTAAATATTTTATCAACATCATTTTTATCATCGATATCATCGGAGGTAAGTATTTTATCAACATCGATATTATTAATATCAATTTTGTCAGCATCATCGTTAATTTCGATTATTGTTACTCATTTGGTAATCGCTTATAAATAGTATAAATTTATTACCAAAGAAATCATTATTTTATATCGTCCATTTGCGATTATATACTTTTTTTTTTTAGTTTGAAACACACGTGTAAATATGCATGGCAGTACGTAAAATTACGCCTCTTGCATAAAAAATTTTTTTATTATGAAAAGTTAATTGAGTAATGATCAGTGAATCAAATTTAAGTATTTTTTTTTTTTTTGTGCGTGATCTCAAATGAAAATGTGCTTTTTTAAAACGACACTTTTCCTTTTTCTCAACTAAATACAATAATCTGTTTATTTTAAATTATTTATTTATCTTGAACTATAATATAAAAACATTAAAGAAAATATACGCACCGAAATTACTAGTATTTGTTTTATATAAACAAATAAACATAATGTTATTAAAAACAATATGTAATATGTTTTATAACTTACTATACACATTATTAAAGATAATTTAGTAAACATTAAACATAGCAGGGAGCTTTAAATATCATTGAATAGTAAAAATTTATTATTCGTCTATATTATTAAAGAGTATGACTTGATCATAGAATAATTGGATATATTTTAATCCTTGATTGTAAATTTAATAATTTAATCTAGTCATGAACATTGATTTCAACACTATTATTGGCTTGATTTAGAATCATGTGATCGGCTGTTTTTTTGGTCAAATCTGTTAATAACAAAGAAAACTTACAAATAGCAGTTAAAAAACATTTATATTTTATTTAGTTATTGGTATCTTTAAATTTTAAATTAGATGATAAATAATTATAATAGTACCTAAATCAGAAACTTCTAAGTCGATTAATTGAGAGTCACAAACACAACTATTTTTAAAATAAAACTTTTAAAATAGAAAATACCTAACGATATTCATAATAGGTTACTGTTGTATGAAGCGCTGACGTTTCACTAGGTCAAATGAATCATAGATGTAGCAAATGTGAAGCTATGATGTGGGATTGATGAAAGAGTAAACAAATCATCAAAATCACCAGTACTGATCAAAAATCCTGGGTAGTTACCCCGTATTGTGTCACGACGTCACTTGCCGGACGGCGAATCACGGACTAATTATCAAATTGTAAAAAATAACATTTATTTCTCAAGGAATAGTATTATATATTTGACCCTTATTAATTTTTTTAAGCCTATGATATCTTTATTTCACTTCCTAATATTCCTTACATCTAGAGTTAATGGCTTTCAACTTTCAAGCAATGCCCTATAAAATTTTTTAATATTTTGTGTATTTGTGAGTATTACAGGATTTTTTAATTTCTAATAATCATTTATCGTCAAATTTCTGAGAACAGAGAAAATTACTATTGAATGCAACACTAAATCACTAATGCAGCTTTGAAAATCTAAAGCTATTAAGTTTTTCTTGCGAAATATTCAAATTATATCCAGCAGATAATGTTCTGATAAAAATGTTTTTTTTGACATTTTGCGGGAAAAATTGACTACTTAATAAATACATGTTTAATGCAGATCAGTTCATCGGGAAAAATATAGCCCGAAAAACATTTTTTTATCAGATGATCGACATTTGCATATCCCATTTTGAAAACGGCAATAATGCAGATCAGCGCATCGGAAAAAATATAGCCCGAAAATTTTTTTTTTTTTACTGAAACTTCTACTTTTGGTTAAAATATTCCTTATTTATGAGATGAATAGTACAAAAAAAAATTTCGAAGAAAATAATTTTTTTAAAGTAAATAAATTTTTAAAATAACCAAATGGAAGCTACTAATATAAAAGATACAGTAAGCAGCAAAAATTGTTTATATTGTAATAAACCTTTTACTAAGGAATTATTGTGTAAAAAATGCATTAATTCTTTAGAAAAATTAGCAGAAAATGGTATTACTGTTGCAATGAATATTTTAGCTATACATTATGAATATGGAAAAGGAACAGAAAAGAATTTAGAAAAAGTCTTTTACTGGTATCAAAAAGCAGCAGAAAATGGTTATACTAATGCAATGTATAATTTAGCTATGTGTTATAAAAATGGAAAAGAAACAGAAAAGAATTTAGAAAAAAGCTTTTTTTGGTATCAAAAAGCAGCAGAAAATAGTTATATTGATGCAATGTCTAATTTAGCCTTATATTATAAAAATGGAGAAGGAACAGAAAAGAATTTAGAAAAAGCCTTTTATTGGTATCAAAAAGCAGCAGAAAATGGT